GACTTTCTCGGGTACTATTTGAATGTTAGGAATTGGCATGTGACCCCTTTTATTTAGTTTTTTAAAGAGCAGGTCTTTCATAATTTTTTTTAGGTATATGGAGGTGATTCTTTATGTTACATCAAACAAAGTAAACAAATGTATGAATACCTGGTGGATGACAGGAACCAGTTTTCTAACTAATGTGGGGACATTTACAAGGAAGCCTTCATCAACAGCTGGAGACTTCCCTCAATGCTGGTCATCTCCGGTGTCAGCAAGCCCCAGGCAGCTCCCAGCTGACCTGTGTAGAGTTAACTATTAGGCCATCACTGTGGACCTAGGCTTCGTGATGTCCTATACAGATATTTCCTATAATCTCCTAGCATGGCATGCTAGACACTTTGCCCCAAGGCCAGCAACTTCAGACTGAGTCTTTAAACCTACCTTGGACACAAGGGATATATTAAGGATCTACCAGCCTGGATGATGTTCTTTGGATTTTGTGGTGATATATTGTGTACTCTAGTAAAATATGCCTGAAGATCAGAGAACAGAACAAGCCACTAGATTAAACATAGAGGCCAGACAGTGGTGGTGCACACCTTTAATCCTAGCATTCGGGAGGCAGAGGTACATGTGGATGTCTGTGAGTTCAGAGCCACCCTGGACTAAATGAGATTGACTTAGTCTAGGAGAGAAACAGAGCCAGGCAGTGGTGGTACACTCCTTTAATCCCAGTACTTGGGAGTTACATGCCTTTAATCCCAGTACTGGGAAGCACACACGCCTTTAATGGCTGGGCAGAGAAAAGTATATAAGGCGTGAGGAGACAGGAACTAGAAGCCTTTTCGGCTGAGTAAGCTCATTTGGCTAAAGGTCTATTGGCTGAGGCTTTTCGGCTGAGGAATCCCTTCCAGCTAGAAGCCTTTTGGCTAGACAGCCTTTTCAGGATGAGGAGTTGGTGAGGTAAGAGGTGGTAGCTGTGGCTTGTTCCTTTGTCTCTGTGATCTTTCAGCATTTACCCAATATCGTGGTTGTTGGGAATTGAACTCAGGACCTCTGGAAGTACAGCCAGTGCTCTTAACCCCTGAGCCATCTCTCCAGCCCAGGATTTTTTTTTGTTAAAAGACCATTTAGCAATTCATACAATAGGACTTGTTATACAAGGCCTTACAAGGTCCTACAGGTCCTACAAGACCCCATAAGGCCCTTCAGGTCTTACAAGGCCCTAACAGGTCTTACAAGGTCCTACAGGGTCCTACAGGTCCTACAAGGTCCTACAAGGCCCTAACAGGTCTTACAAGGTCCTACAGGGTCCTACAGGTCCTACAAGGCCCTACAAGGTCCTACAAGATCCCCAAGGCCCAGAACTTCAGGCTTGTGTTAGGCCAGCCCCCTGCCTGCACCACCAAGTCTATGATTTGGCCAAGGTGGCCTCTAAACTCCAGGCTCTAGACCATACTTAATATCAGGTCGTTGTTTTTTCTAGACGTAAGGCCCATACCAGCATGAGGCTGACCCTTTCACCCCTATGTACCAGGGCAGCACCTCTGGTCCCAGTGTCTAGGCTTGCCCCCACAGAAGCAGGCCCACCCAGTTCTAAGCTACTTTCTGGCTGCAGGTTTCAGGCATATCTCATGAAGAGTCAGCAGCTCCGGCCTTAAATACCAGCTAAGCACCTTCAAACACAATATCCAAGCTATATAGCTTGATGCTCCTTGACCTTAGCAATCCCATATTCCAGCAGACTCAAGTCTCAAGCCTGTCTCTAAATTTCAGAGCTGAACCCAGCCTCCACAACTACTCTTTTGTATCTTAGTTCCAGGCTGGCTCCAAAGAACCCAGATCCAGACTGGATATTGCCTCTAGACCCTCATGTGAATACACAGTCTTCAGACCAGCACCAGAGAACACAGCCATGGGTCTGAGCTAAATCTGAATGATTCCAGGTTCCAGCTGAGCAGAGCCTGAGCCTACCCTACCCTACCTTAAGTAGATGCAAAACTCCAGACAAAATACTAACAACCAACTATCACATGGAAAAAGATCATTCGTCATCATGTGGGTGACACAGTCCACACATGGAACTCTATAAATGTCATATAGGACCAAACTTATATGATCATCTTTCAGAAACAAAACAAAACTTTGATAAATGTCTTAGTTAGGGTTACTATTGCTGTGATGAAATACCATGATGAATAGTAATTGTAGCAGGCTTTTTTGTACCACCAGCCCCTAAATCATGACACAGAGACTTCTTATTCATTATGAAAGCTTGGCTTATATCAGAATTTTCTCAGGGGCCTGCCCTGAGAAGATTTCTCCCAGAGTCCTGGGGAAGATGCTACAGCTGGAGATGGGATAATCTGAGGGAAAAGAATCTATGTACACCAGTTTCTTATGTCCATTTACTTTATTTCTCTATAACAAACTTCTATCTACACAGCTTCAGTTCCATTCTGACACTCAGTTCCTCTCTGCCCCTTCTTTTTCTGTCCTCTCACAGCCCTAACTAAGCTCTTATGCTTTCAATCTCATCTTCATCTTCAGTTTCTCCACCCATGCTAATTTTTTTCTCTCTCTACCCTCTTGATCTGACTCAAACTTATCCTCTACAAAAGATCTGCCTTGTTCCTTTCTCTCCAGCCATGCAACTATGTCTGGACCAGGAATTCTGCTCCAGGCTTTACTGCACCTGGTTATGCAAAAATCCTATTGTCCTGAGTCAAATGCTCTGGAATGCCATTTGGCCAGTCTGGGGAAGGAAAGCCTGGGCTTCATTTGCCCAAGAAACAAAGCTATGCACCTACTGTTTGCCTGTCCCCTAGGCTCTGTAGGGTTGTTACCTAGTAGATCAGCAGTAGGTCTGAGAAGCTTATATTGTTTGCTGTTGTGGCCTAGTAGTATATGAGCACAAAAGAAATTCATAGCAGAAGAGAGCTGATATATTAAAAGCTGAATAACACCAAATATTCTGTGATAAATGGCTTTCCTCTAGAAAGATTCCTTGACCTTTCTAGATATAGCTTTATTATACACAGCTGAATCTCTATAACATATTCTTGCAGCTTGCAGCAGGCCTATGGCTCCGGCTTGTCCCACTAGCTCTTATAACTTAAGTTAACCCATTTATATTCGTATACATTTTGCCTCATGGCTTTTTACCTCTTTCCATTTTGCATCTCCTGTTTCCTCTTCATGTCCTCTGGTGTCTCTCCTGCACCTCCATTCATCTTCTCTTCCTCCCTCTCTCTGACCAGAAGTCCCACCTAACCTCTTCCTGCCTAGCTATTGGCCATTCAGCTCTTTATTAAACCAATCACAAGGTGCCTTGGCAGAGATACATTTTCAGTGTACAGAAAGATTATTCCATAACACAGAAGAGCATGCCATCACTGCCCACCTGCCTCCAGTTCCCATGCTGGTTGATCTTTTCCCTAGAGCCCTTTTATCCAAATTCAAAATAAATATGAGACCCCTCAGAGCCCTGTGATGCTTATGAGGTCAGACCAGGGGCTTTGGTTTGTTATATAAGTTTTCCTCTTTTCCTCTGTCCTTCATGAAATGGCCCAGAAAATGCACTGGACATTGCCCCTGGTCATGGCCTGATTGCCTAAATGTTCTTCCTATTTGATGCCATGTGCCAAGTGTCCGCTGCTGAGGTTTACACACATCCGCCAAAGGTCTTGGTGCTATTGGAAAGTGCTGGGAACATTTATGGCTAGGTCCTAGGGAGAGGTCCTTAGGCTGTACAGATCTTGTCCCTGAAAGTACCTGTGGGGCTCTCTCTCTCTCTGTTCTACCCTCTTTCCCTACTTCTCTCCTCTCTTCCTTCCTGGTTTCTGCTCCTGTTATGATGTTTCACTCTTGTGATATAATTACATAAACCCATGTAAACATGCACATTGCACACACATACATGTGTGCGCACACACACACATGCACACACCCAGTCTTAGATTCTGACCTGTATTTGTGAGCATAGCTTTCCTAGGTTAACTGTCTTAGGTATGCTGTAGTAATTTCAAGCTAATTAATACATCCAGGAATGACTGAATCTTGGATTTAGCACCAGGATCATTTCAGGGGAGTTTTGATTACACAGAAGAGGAGGGAGTTTGTACCCCTAATAATTCATGTCTACTACCAATAGCATATGGGCAAGTCACTTAGCCACCTTATGCCAAGTCATTTTCTGCAATGCCAACACAAACCACCTGTCCCTCTTTCTGATGTGCCTCTGGATCAGAAGAAGAGTCAAAAAGAGGGTGGTTTGGTGTTGGTGGAGAACATTCAGTTACTAAGTCACTCAAGTCTCAGATCTCAACCCAGGTCCCACTGTTGGTGTGTCCATATGCATCAGTGGTAGACAGGATAAGATCTGATGTGAGCATGTGAAAGAATACTTCTGTGTTCAGGAGAAAGAGAGAACAGAGCAAAAAGAGTCCAGAGGAAACACCCTCCTCCAGCCACATCAGACCTTCTCACTCTCCCAGGCCTAAGCATGTCATGTGACTTCCCTGGATGACTATCCTCATTGTAGGACACTAATCTCAGAAGAGTCTCAAAAGCAGGGTGGGAGTGACCAGGGCTAAGGAGAGGAAACCTCTTGGGGAGTCTGCTCTAGTTTTCTGTTTTTGATTTTTCTTTTAACCTCTACTTGTATGATGTTTGAAGTTTTTTCTGACCCCAGGGCAAGGAATGTTCTCTTCAGCACTGTGGCACGGTGCACATGAGCGATTTGTTGTGGGTGGTCTATTTTGTGTTTGTCGGAATTGGAGTGGGTGCACGGGCCAAAAGAACAAACAGAGACAAATTACTAATAAGAGAGAGAGCGAGAGTGAGAGAGAGCGAGAGAGAGCGAGAAAGAGCGAGAGCGAGAGCAAGAGAGAGAGAGAGAGAGAGAGAGAGAGAGAGAGAGAGAGAGAGAGAGAGAGAGGAGATGCTGGACCTGAGAAGGGCACATGGGAGGACTCTGCTGGGTTTCAGTGATTACTAACAGTGAATGGAAAGAGGACAGTTGCCACAACATTTATTCTAGTTTATATACTGAGGACGGCGATGGGGTAAAGTCAACCGTAACCATATCCCCTTCAAACGAGAACTCGGAGGTCTGACTGTCTGGGTAGAAATCGTCAGCGGGAGTAACAGGCGCTATCCACTCTCCCTTATCCAACAGGTTCACGCAAACGTTCCCGCACAGTGTTGAGCAGCAGATGTTGTTGGCTTGGCAGTCTTGGTTAGCTTCACAGTGGAAATTGCACAGATACAATTTTGGCTTCCTCTCACACTCCCTGATAACAGGGGGACCTCGTTTTACTGAAAAGAACAGCGAGAGCAGGAAGGTGAGTAGAATGGCTGCCTAGTGAGAATCCTCCCAGGCTTAAAGTGCCTTCAGTATGCTGGGGTCCCACAACAACACGCCTGGACTTCCCAGGCAACTTTTTCTGTGCCTCTCACCAAGTCCTGGTGATCAGTTGTGTTTTAAATCCCATGCCCCCA